CTGCGCGGCGGTGATGGCGAACGGCGCGGGCGACGGGTCCGCCTCGTCCGCGCTCGCGGGCAGCGCCACGCGCGCGTCCTGGTTGTCGTACGTGTAGTCCCAGACGTTCACGTCGATGCCGTGGCGCGCGGTCGACGGTCGCTGCACCGTTCGCACCGGTGCGACGAGCGCCGTGGCCGTCGTCGCGAGGATGGTCGCGGCCGCGACGCGGCGCAGGCTAGGCATGGGTTCTGCGTGCGCGGCGAGAGGCCCCTCGCGACGAGGACGGCGTGGACGATCGGTTCCGACGAACCGGCGGCGTGCGGGTCGAGGATTCGCGGCGGCGGCGGCGGCGGAAGGCGGCCGATTGCACCCGATCCAACTCGCGGACTGCTCGAGACACGCAACCAATCGAATCTAGTTAGGGGCCACGCGCTCGGCCTCGATCGTTCCTTGCGGTTCGCGCGCGCGCGCAGCGCTCGCAGAGCTCGCGAACTCCGGCCTCGCGAGCCAGGGCGCCGGCGGCGGCGCGGACGAGGCGGGGCACGGCAGAAGACCGTAGCCTGCGTCGGGACGCGCGCGCGTTCCCGATAGACTGAAGTTCGAAAAGCTTTCTTACGAGACTGGCGACACGCCCTTTCACCCAGTGCGCGAATTGTTTTTGCTCTGAAGTGAGGAGTGAAGGATCTGGGAAGTGGCTAGCGCGAACAGCCGAGCGAACTCCCTGTCTGCGCATCGCGGCGCTCATGCCCACTTGCGCGCCCGCCCGGAGGCCTCGCCGCCGCGGGCACGGCATCTTCGCGGCGAAGCTCGCCAACGCCGTCGGCATCGAGAACAAGCAGATCGTGATCAACAACGCGATCAAGAACATCCCCAGCATCACGCTCCCGAACCCCTAGGTGCGCACGCGCGCGCGCGCGCCCCGGAGCACCATCGCTGCCGCGCGTTCCGCGCCGCGCCGCCATCGTCGCGCTCCACGGCTCACGAAGTCCGCCAGGGAAAACTCCCGCGCCGCGCCGCGACGAGCGCCAAGCCACCCCGTCCCGACGACCCGCTGCCACTCGGCCCGCGCCGAGGAACGAAGTCACATGCAGAATGTTGCAAAAACAGGGGCATTGAAGGAGCCGAGGCTGAGATCAGTGCTACCCGGCGACGATGGCACCGATCTCGTCGCGCCGCAGCGCCCTGGCGCCTCCGCGATTCCTCCTGTTGGCCGCGACGGCCAACGCCCTGCTGGCGCCGGCGCGCGTCGCGACGGCGCCGCGGACGGCGCCCCTCTTCTCGACGAAGAGCCTCTACGACAAGACCGTGGAGCGCAAGGCCGGCCAGGAGAAGCTCAAGGTCGCGCCCGAGCTCGAGTCGCCGCCCGTGGACAGCACGCCGGAGGCGCCCAAGGTGAACGGCGGCATCGTCATCGGCACGCGCAAGCTCGTCGTCGTGACGGGCGCGTCGTCGGGCCTCGGGCTCTACGGCGCGCTGTCCCTCGCGAAGAAGGGCGGCTACTACGTGATCCTCGCCTGCCGGAACACGGAGCGCGCGAACCGCATCGCCAAGGAGGCGGGGTTCCCGAAGAACTCCTAC